TTATTGCCTTTTACTATCAGTATCTTTATAAATACGATCTTTATTTGTCTTTGGGGGTTGGCATGAGAATGATAACATTAGCACATTACATGCTCAACATTGCACGTAGTACATATTACTAACAATAAGATGTTTAAAAAAAAAAGGATGGTCGCATGCGGTTCTTGTTAAGTTGAATATGTCATAAATCAAGGACTACTTGTCCTGTAACAAGATGCCTAAAAAACAAAATAGATGGGTAAATAGATAGACTGGAAAGTTGCATTTTAAAGATCAATAAGATGTTTTTTAAAAGTTGGGTAGACCTAACTGTACTACCTCCTTGATTAATAGCATTATTTTGCAACATCTCAGTGGTGAGTTTTTTGCTCAGCCAGTAGTTCCAGTCTGTTCTTGAAAGTTCAGGTTGGCAGGTCTGCAGCTGAGCTCGAGTACAAACAAAGAAAATGCAACCCAGAAGCTCATCAGGCTCAGCATAATGATTCTGAAGTCAGAATTTCCTAATACGGACATCTTAGATGAGCTCTTGGTTTAGAGAAATGTCAGTTTGCATGGATTTACTTCTCCACTAAGAACAGGGATTAAAGACAAAAGAGGAACTTACCATGAATCTGATATTTACGTAAATCTGCTTTCCTTTCCACAGTCTTCAGCTGACTAAAGGCATAAGAAAAATTACTTTTGATTAGTGAGATAGTTTAGGCACTGAAAACAGGTAATGTAATGTAATGTGATGAGTGAGTTTTTCTTCCCAACCCTATCACTCCCACCCATAGAAAGGTTAAATATTTGAACTCATCAAACATGGCTTACGTATGCAATGCATTCTGAGTGGGGTCAGAGTGAGTTTAAGGAAATTTCTTCATCTCTTGGTTAGGTCAATGCATTTTGTTAATTTTGTTTTCTTATCTGTTTGATTGGAAGTGTACTCTTCAGCTTGTGAATTCAGTACTTTAAGATCTAAATTATAGGGACAGCTCTGGCAAGATAGAACTATGCTGTGGTACAGGGAAGCTTAATGTGATCGTACCCGATATCTTACCATGGCTTGTTGCCAGTGCTTGATGTTTATAACGTGCATGTCTATAGACTCACACGGGTTCTTGGATGACTGTCTCAAAGATGTAAGTTTCAGCAATTGCCTGTGTGTGTCATCTATTAAGTTTGCAAAGTTGGTACAAACATCCAAGTTTCCCTTTGTGCCTTTGAGCATGACTTCATAAATCCAGCGGATGAAGTTATATTTGTTCCATGGTACTGCTGAATGGGCACTGGGTCTGATGAAAATGCATTCAGTCTCTTAACATGCCTTTCTTCCTCATGTTTTCTCAGCCCCCACTGACATTATGGTTGGTTTAAGCATTTATTGTCTTTTACTTAAACTAAGGTGCACTTCTGTCCAAAAATAATTTATTTTTTTAGTTATTAAGCATTTATTGCCCCTTATGTGCAAAGCCCCTTGCTGAGTTCTGTGTGACAGAAAGGTAAATCAAGCATGGTTCCTGCTGACAGGGAGTTTTGAGTCTAATAAAGAAAATGATACCCGTTACTGTTGAGTGAATTCCTACTCATAGCAAACCTATAGGACACAGTAGAGCTGCCCCATAGCATTTCCAAGGCTGTATTCTTTATGGAAGTAGACTGCCACATCTCTTTCTCACGGAATGGTTGGTGGTTTACACCACTGACCTTTCAGGTGGCAGCCAAGTGCTTTAACCACTGTACCACCCAGGGCTCCTTAAAGAAAATGACAGAAGGCATAAAATGAGTAACTGCCAGGTAATGTGTTTTTCGTGGAAAATAATAATAATACAGTGGGGAAAATATGCCTTTCAAATGGAAAATTTTGTAGGAGAGAAGGAATTGGAGATGAGTCTTGGAGAATATGAGTAGAATTTTTATCTTCAGAGACAGAGAAAGGGATTTCAGAAGAAAGGAATATTTGGGGCAAAAGGTATTCAGCCAGGAAACACACTGTAAGTGTTGGAGGAACTGTGCAGAATCAATTTTGGTAAGAACAAAGGGCCTGTGTTAGGCAGCAGTAAGAGAGAAAATCTTTAAGTAGATAGGGACCATGTAGTGGGAAGCTTAAAATGGCAGGGTAGGGGATTTTTATTAATTTGGTAAGCAATGGGAAGCCATCCAACATTTCTCAACAGAGAAGGACGTTTTGCCTTGAAATCATGACATTCCTCGGTGTTACAGATTTATTAAATATAACCTATTACCTCTGGGTTTAGTTTCCATATTGCAAGAACCACTATATACCACATTGTTTATTTACAGGCCATCTTCATCTAGACAGCGTTTTTCAACCTCAGCTCTGTTGACATTTTAGGTCAGATAATTCCTTGTTACAGGGCTTCCCTGTGCATCGTAGAATGTTTGGCAGCATCCCTGGCCTCTAACCACTAGGTGCCAGTAACATCCTCTTGCCCCTACTTGTGAAAACCAAAAATGTCTCCCCAAACCAACCAAACCCATTGCTTTCAAGTTGATTCTGACTCATAGTGACGCTATAGGACAGAGTAGAACTGCCCTATAGGGTTTCCAAGGAACGGCTGGTAGATTCAAACTACCGACCTTTTTGGTTAGCAGCCAAGCTGTTAACCACTGCGCCAGCAGGGCTCTGGCTGCCAAATGTCCCCTGAGGGACAAATTCATACCCTTTAGAGCACTACTAGTCTAGATACATGAATTGAGTTCCTTTGGTGTTCTGGGCATTGTTAGCTGATGGCAAATCTAAGAGTCTCTTAAGCATCCAATCTACTAATGCCTTAGAATTAAGAATTAAGAGTCTCTTAAGCATCCAATCTACTAATGCCTATGCCTGATCTAAAGATTAAGGCATTTCATGTGTGTTGGAGCAAAAGAGCTGGACTGGGCATCAGGAGACAGGGATTCCAGTCCTGGCTCCACCAGGACTTGGGTGAGACCAGTAATCTGATTCCTCCCCTCTAAAATGACTGCTGTGACTGCTAAGGCTCTTTCCAGCTCTGATTCTGTGTCCTGATTTCAAATTGATTTCAGGGCTTTATTCTTTTGCATCTTTAGAAAGTTAGCACACATTGGACCAGCATGTATATTAACCAACAAGACTGACTGAAGTATTGAGTAAGAAAGGTAAATATTTTTGGCCCAGTGCTTTTATTAGTTTCCTAGGGGTGCCATAACAAAATACCAAAAACTAGGTGACTTAACACAACAGAAGTTTATACTCTCATAGTTCTGGAGGCCAGGAGTCCAAAATCAAGGTGTCAGCAGAGCAATGCTCTCTCTGAGGCACTAGTGGAGAATCTGTTCTATGCCTTTCTTTTAGCTTCTGGTGTTGCTGGCAATCCTTGGCGTTTCTTGGTTTATAGACAAGTCATTCCAATCTCTGCGTCCATTGTCACATGGCATTCCCCTTGTGTGTCTGTGCCTGTGCCTCTACTCTTCTTATAAACACATCAGTCATACTGGATTAGGGCTCACCCTAATGACACCATCTTAACTTGATTACATCTGCAAAGACCCTATTTCAAATTGGTCACATTCATAGGTATTGGCGGTTTGGACTTCAACATATCTTTTTTGGAGGACAGAATTCAATTCATGTTGTTGGGGGACATCAAGTCAGTTCCAACTCATAGTTACCCTGTGTAAAACAGAACGAAACACTGCCTAGTGCTGCATCATCCTCACAATCGTTGCTATGCTTGAACCCATTGTTGCAGCCACTGTGTCAGTCCATCTCGTTGAGGTCTTCCTCTCTTTCACTGACCTTCTACTTTACCAAGATGCTGTCCTTTTCCAGGGACTGGTCCCTCCTGATAGTACGTAAAATGAAAGTCTCACCATCCTCGCTTCTAAGGAGCATTCTGGCTGTACGTCTCCCAAGAAAGATTTGTTTGTTCTGGCAGTCCGTGGTATATTCAACGTTCTTTGCCAACACCATAACTCAAAGGCATCAATTTTTCTTCGGTCTTCCTTATTCGTTGTCCAGCTTTCACGTGCATATGAGGAAATTGAGAATACTATGGCTTGGGTCAGGTGCACCTTAGTCCTTAAAGTGACATCTTTGCTTTTGAACACTTTAAAGAGGTCTTTTGCTGCAGATTTGCCTAATGCAACACATTGTTTGATTTCTTGACTGCTGCTTCCATGGGGGTTGATTCTGGATCCAAGTAAAATGAAATCCTTGACAATTCAGTCTTTCCTCCATTTATCATGATGTTGCTAATTGGTCCAGTTGTGAGGATTTCTGTTTTCTTTATGTTGAGGTGCAATCCATACTGAAGGCTGTAGTCTTTGATCTTCATCAGTAAGTACTTCAAGCCCTCTTGGCTTTCAGATGTGCCATCTGCATAGTGCAGGTTGTTCATGAGTCTTCATCCAATCCTGATGCCCCTTCATATGGTCCAGTTTCTCGGATTATTTGCTCAGCATACAGATTTAATAAGTATTGAAAGGATACAACCCTGACGCACACCTTTCCTGATTTTAAACCATGCAGTATGCCCTTGTTCTGTTCAAATGATTGCCTCTCAGTCTATGTACAGGTTCCACATGAGCACAATTAAGTGCTCTGGAATTCCCATTCTTCACAATGTTATTCATAATTTCTTATGCTCCACACAGTCGAATGCCTTTGCATAGTTAATAAGATACAGGTAAACATCTTTCTGGTATTCTGGTATTTTCTGGTATTCCGATACTCTCTTTCAGCCAAGTTTCATCTGACATCAGCAATGATATCCCTCATTCTGCGTCCTCTTCTGAATCTGGCTTGAATTTCTGGCAATTCCCTGTCGATGTACTGCTGCAACCATTTTGAATTATCTTCAGCAAAATTTTACTTTCTTGTGGTATTAATGATATTGTTTGATAATTTCCGCATTCTGTTGGGTCACCTTTCTTTGGAATGGCCACAAATACGGATCTCTTCCAGTCAGTTGGTCAGGCAGCTTTACTGTACTAAGTACTATATGTATATATATATATATTGTTTTTTTTTCTAGATTATTTGAAGAATCTCTTAGAAGACTCTGGAGATTACAGAGACACTCAAGGTAAATAATTTTTGTGGTCTCCTATGTTGCAGAAGTTTTTATACTGTTTATTAAGACCTACAAAGTAAAAATATATCAATAACGAAACCAGTGGAGTACTCTATTGTATTCATAAGACAAGTCGAAGCCTCTTTTTAAACTCCATTTTGGGCAGAACTGTAACAAGTATTACAGGGTGTTTAGCATCCCTGACTCCTACCCACTAAATGCCAGTAGACTTTCCAAGTCATTGTGACTACCAAAAATTGTTCACATATGTCCAAACGTCCCCAGGGAGAGCGCTACTGCCTTGGGTTGTTAATAACTGCACCCGAAAGCAGACAAAACAGATTTTTTTCCTTTATACCTAGTAACAAAGATAACAAGGGTGGAGCGTTCAAAAACACTTTGCTAATGGCAAAAATCAAACAAACAGACTAACAAACAAAAGACAGTTGCCTTCAAGTTGATTCCTACTCATGGCAACCCCACGTGTTGCAAAGTAGAACTGCGCTCCATAGGATTCACAGGGCTGTAATCCTTCAGAAGCAGATCACCAGGCCTTTCTTTCAAGGTGCGTCTGGGTGTGTTGGAACCACCAATCTTTTGGTTAGTAGCTTAGCACTTAACCACCATCCAAGGGCTCCTTGCTAAAGGTAAAGGATTAATAAAAAATAATAAAATACAGATAGTCCCATGAAGTCATATAACCTGGCTCACAGGATAATGCTTGTAATTTTCTAAGGTCAGGTAACGTTCCATGTGACATTTCTAAGTTCCATTTGTAACTCTTGCCTCTTGGGACCAGACAGAGAAGGAGGCTGAGCCCTGGCTCTCTTAACTAGTTGCTCCTCATGGTTCTGTTTTCCTATCCCAGATCCTTTTCCCCAATATCCTTCTCTTCCACGGCAGTTTATACTGGGAAGATCTTTAGCTTCCAGGTGAGATCCTGTTCTTATCCTTGTAAACTTAACCGGAAAATCAAATCTCAGCACGGACAATCCTGACCGTGATACCAGTGGGGCATGTGGTCTAGTCTGTATCTTTAGAGTCTTTCTTTGGCTCAATTTTTCCATAAGTATTGTTTTTGTCTGAATTAATTTCCTTGATTCTGCCCTCATTGAACCACATCATCTATATTTCCACTTATTCACAGTCAATTGGACTTCTGCAGAGGTTGGTTGCTATTAACTAGCTACCTTGCTGACTGGAATTGCTTAATGTTGCAAATTGTTCATTTCAGCGGTAATGACCAAATGCCCCTTCTGTTCCTACGTATTTTAGATGCCCTTGCTGTTGTCATAGAGGTAGCCAACCATGCCAATGACACTATGAAGCAAGGAGTAAGTATCTTGATTTCAGCCGCTAGTGTATAATTGAACCTAGGAGCCTGGGCCTTCATACACTCGGCTTTCTCTTTCTGTAGGACAACTTTCAGAAACTTATGCAAATTCAGTACAGCTTAAATGGACACCATGAAATAGTGCAGCCTGGACGGGTAAGTATTTCAGGCTAACTTTTGCAAATGTAATACACAGCATTTAGATGCCATTTGTAGATAATTTTCATTTCAGTTATGAAAATAGATATTTGTTATTGTTACTCTTCATTGACTCAATCTGGATCAACTACATTTATTTTATCCATTAAAAACATTCATGATTTAAGTCACTGTGACAAGAAATCCAATTCAATTAAGAGAATAGCAAGAGACCCCACAGAGTCTCTGATTAAATGGGATCATTTTATATGTAATACCATCTGACCTCACACAGCTTTAAAGATAATTTCATTTATAATCTTTAATTTCCAAATAGACATATATTAAACAAGAGAGCAGGGGAGGGAGAAAATTGGTATTTTGATGCTCCTTATAAAGCACAAAAGGGGCCTAGGGAATGAGTTTGGGAAAATTACAAATGCAGTTGTCAGGATGTGATATGCCTCAAGATCAAGTACACACTCAATCAATTACATGACAGACTACATAGCACCCCTGTAACCAATATTGGATTTATGGAACTCTGCTAGCTTGCCCAATTCCTGAATGACTTACAGGGTTTTAAACAAAACCATGCTGTAAAAAGTCACAAGTAAACTAGCCCCCACCGCCCCCACCCCAAAAAAAAAAAAAAAAAAACTGGAGGAAGAAACTATATAAATGCATATATACACATGGAGCCCTGGTGGCACAATGGTTAAGAGCTCGGGTGTTAACCAAAAGGTCAGCAGTTTGAATCCACCAGCTGCTCCTTGGAAACACTATAGGGCAGTTCTACTCTGTCCTATAGGGTCGCTGTGAGTGGGAATTGACTTGACAGCAGTGGGTGTGTTTTTCTTTTCTATACACATATATATAAGGTGCTTGGTTGTGCAGTGGTTAAGTGCATGGCTGCTAACCAAAAAAGTCGGCAGTTCAAACCCACCAGCCGCTCCGCAGGAGAAAGATGTGACAGTCTGCTTCTGTAAAGATTTACAGCCTTGGAAACCCTATGGGGCAGTTCTACTCTGTCCTGTAGGGTCGCTATGAGTCTGAATTGACTCGACGGCAATGGGTTTTTATACACACACACACACATATACATGCACGCATTTATATATCCATACACACGTTTTTATATACACACACATACATGTACACATTTGTGTGTGTGTGTATGGATATACCCATGCATATAATATATATGTATTGTAGTTGTATTATGATGGTAGGATTAAATGGTTGGAATCTCTATATGGAAATACTGCTTTCCTTTAATAATGGTGATATACACACACACATACACTATATATATATGTGTGTATATATATGTATTGTAGTTATATTATGCTGGTAAATTAAATGGGTGTTTCTTTGGATGGATCAGGTCTTTCTGAAAGAAGGAACTTTGATGAAGCTATCCCGGAAAGTCATGCAGCCCCGAATGTTTTTCCTGGTAAGAAGCCATGTGTGGTTCTGTTGTGTACAAGGCAGGAGTAATTGCTTAATAGAAGGAGACATTTGTACAAGACAGACAAGCTTAGTAAATTCTAATAATGGTTTTTATGGGATCTTTGACTGGCTGGATTGCATATTTGCATTTCAAGTGTAGGGAAATAAAATCTGTTATGATGTATAACCAGAGCATTCTTTCCTCTTGGGATTTAGTTTACTTCATTTCTAATTTGGAAGAATTGTTTTTATTAGTTATTTATTTAGGCAGATTGTAATACCTTTGTGGGATGTAGAATTCAGAAAACACTTAATCTGCTACAGGACTTGGAAACGAAGCACATTTTCCAGAAAATTACTTTTTTAAATAATACTCTACTAAAACATTCTATGTGGTTCCAGTTTATTTAAGCAAAACACAAGTATTTTATTCAGAGAGCTATTAGCAAAGAAACTGTTTTTCTTTCACTCCTGTGTCTTATCTGTATCTTTGTAGCTGAAATTTGTTTATTTTTCCTGTGAAATACTTCTATTTTCAGTTTAATGACGCCCTGTTGTATACAACGCCAGTGCAGTCTGGGATGTTCAAACTAAACAACATGCTCTCATTGGCTGGAATGAAGGTGGGTCTGTGTGTCTGTTAGAATTACTTTTTTTTTTTTTACCCAAATAGAGACAAAGCCCTAAGGTAATCGTCTTTCTCACATCCTTAACTTTTCTCTCTCCATGTTACTATTCATGCATTTGCTTGTTCATTTATGCATTTATTTGTCCACTCATGCATTCATTCATTTGTAGATTCATTACTGAGAACTACTATGAACAAAACATGATAATAGGTTTGGTGGAAAATACAAAGATGATTTGAAGCATGATTTTTTAATTTTTTTGTGCTCTCTCTTCTCCTGGAGCTTAGCAACTAGCTGAGAAGATAATATGCTACCCATAAAAATTTCTATAAAGTAGACAGTAATAAGGCACAGTTAAAGTGTTTTGGAGTTCAGAAAATGAAAAAATGTCCAGCCTTTGGTAGGGCATGATGGAAGGATTGGTGGCAGCTAGGAAAGAGGGAAAACAGAAGTCTTTTTTGAGGAAGAAGCAATGAGCCTTGAAGGGTAGGTCCATGGAGCCATACTGAGATGTGGGGAGAAGGCATTGCAGGTAAAGGGATAGCATGAGCAAAGGCTTGGAGGTGGTAACGTTGGGTCTGTATAGGGGCATTTAAATTCATCTGGAGCATAGAGTAAATGACCAAGAGTAGTGGTAGATAAAGCTGGCTAGGAAGGTTGGTTGTAGATGTCAGCAACCAGGGGCATTGGGAAGCTTGAGCTATGCTTCAGAGTTGGGATTTTCAGTAGGCGATGGGTTTACTTAAAATTTTTGTACTTTCTTCCAGGTCAGAAAACCCACCCAAGAAGCGTATCAGAATGAACTAAAGATTGAAAGTGTAGAACGTTCCTTTATTCTCTCAGCCAGGTAAATTTTTTTTAAAAAGAATGTATAGATGAATTTTTGTTAGTTTCAGCTATCTCTAGCACTTTATATATATATATATATATTTGTCTCTTTCCCAATACCATGCAATTTACTCTTGATTTACCATGCAGATAAATGGTGAGAGTTGATGTGGGTAATGTGCTAGAAACAAGAGGATAAAAATGTTCCTCTAAAAAGAATGATAATGCTGAAAAGTGATTTGCTGATCATACTTCTAAAGTTGAACATTTCAAATCTTTTTACAATGCACATAATATTTTTTAAAAAACATCTAGTGCTTTATAGTTTATTAGGAAATTTTCACATACCATTTAAAGGTCATAGCAAACCTGTAAGGTAGATGTCATCTTATAATAAAAATAAAGAAACAAAGTTATAGAAAAAATGAGTTGCTGACTTAAGGATACATAGCTGGCAAAGCTAAGACATAAATGCTTTTAAAACCATTGTCATTTATATAGCACTGCATTGTCTCAAAATGGAACCTGCAATGACTTATTTGTAAATCAAAATATATTGCCATAATATGAAATCAAGCTCTTAGGAAACAGAGCTGTATGACTCATATTAAAGTGAGGCACACATGCATTACTGAGTAATTGGCAGAGCAGCAGAACTGGATGTTTGGCAGCTTTGACTGGTGAGGAGAGGGAGCAAAAGCCATAGCTTGTTCCACTGCAGGATCTGCATAGAGAATCGTTGGGGCTCTCTTCTCAGACCCGACCTTTGATGTAATAAAAATAGTGGCAAGCACTTATGTAGCGCCTACTTTGTGTCAGGCACTCTTCTAAGCACTTTACATGTAATAATTCATTGAATCTTCACAACAACCCTTTCAGGTAAGTTACTACTGTTATACCCATTTTATGGTAAGAAACTGGACAAAATTTTGTTCTGTTTTACATGGGGTTGCCATGAGTGGGAGCTGACTCCATGGCAACTAACCACAACTACAATGGTGAGAAAAGCTACCAAGCTAGTAAGTAGCAGAGCCAGTGTTGGAATCCAGTCAGTCTGCCTCTAGCTATGTCTGAACTACTGAAGTCCACTAGGATCTTAGCAGCTGAAACCATTTATTATTCCACATCAGGCACAGTGCTAAACGTTTTATACTTATTTTCTTTTAATTCCTATGATAACTTGTATAGGTATCATTTTGACTTTCTAGATGAGAAAAATTGGAGGCTTAGAGAGAGTAAATAAAATGTCCAAGATTACACAACTAGTGAGTAGTGGAGGTGTAATTTGAATCTAGGTAGGTGAATCTGACACTGAAATCCATAGTTTAACCATTACAGTGCTGCCTATGTCCATGTCAAGGACTCAGACCAAATGTCTAACTTCCCTCAGTTGGAGAACTGCAAGAGCAGCTCCCCAGATCCTGTCAGTCCTCTGACGCAGAATGGCCACTGTTGCCTGACACCAGATCACAGGAAGACAAACACCTGTGTTCAGTGTTTGTCAAATGCTTCCCAGCTACCTTCCAGAGCAAGCAAAATTCTTGGGGGTACCTGAAGCATCCCCTAGATCAATACAGTATCAATACCTGTATTGTAATTTTTTTTCTGAGTTTGACCAAAAAGTAACAAAGAGCATCAAGTCCCTGTACAGCAGGCTCCTGACAGTACTTGAACTTGGTTCTTAAAAGTATTTTCCACTGTGGAAAACAGTTTGGTGGTTCCTCAAAAAGTTAAATATAGAATTATCATATGACCCAGCAGTTCTACTCCTAGGCATATATCCAAAAGAACTGAAAGCAGGAATGCAAACAGATACTTGTACACCAGTGTTCTTTGTAGCACTGTTCATAATAGCCCAAAGGTGGAAACAACCTAAATGTTCATCAGCACATGAATGGATAAACAAAATGTGGTATACACATACAATGGAATATTACTCGGGTATGAAGAGAAATGAGGTCCTGTTACATGCTACAACATGGATGAACCTTGAAAACATTATGCTGAATAAGACAGTCACAAAAGGACAAGTATTGTATGATTACACTTATATGAATTATCTAGAATAGGCAAATGTATAGAGACCAAAGTCTATTAGTGGTTACCAGGGTTGGGAGGGAAGGGGAAAAGGGGAGTCATTGCTTAGGGGCCACTGAATTTCTGTTAAAGGTGATGGAAAAATTTGGAAACTGATAATGGAGATGGTTGTATTAAAAAGAACAAAACAAAACAAAAAACCAAACCATTGCCATCGAGTCGATTCCTACTTATAGTGACCCTGTAAGACAGAGTAGAACTGCCCCATACGGTTTTCAAGGAGTGGCTGGTGGATTTGAACTGCCGACCTTTTGGTTAGCAGCCGAGTTCTTAACCACTGGGCCACCAAGGTTGTGTCGATGGTTGTATAGATGAACATAATGAATGTCACTGATTGTACATGGAAAAAAATGTTGAAATGGCAATTTTTTTTAACATATATTTTTATCACCAGAAAAAAAAAAAGTTATTTTCAAAGATCCAGGAAGGAATGCCTATAGAAAAGTCAAATTTTCAATTCAACTTAAGTTTATTAACGAAAATGAGTGTTAGTGAAAACAAAATTCTGTTTTATTAAAATTAAGTAATTCAGAAAATTACGGTAAGTGTTTCTTTCTTGGGCTGCCTATCAGGTAGATATCCAGATGTCCATGTTTTTCCAGATTAATACCAGACAGGTTTAATGAACAACTCTGATACAGATTTATACTATATTTGTGTAACTTTAAAAAGTCCTAATTGATTATGACTTAGTCTTTATTATCCTCATTCATTTATCCTTAAATGCAGTTTGCTATCCCTGGATTTGTCATTTCTCCTTTTGGTCAGAATCCCACACATTCTTTGTGTCAGGCATTCAGAGAGAGAAAATAGACAGTCCTTTCTGAAATTTTACATTGACCCTCTATCTCTACACCTCTACCTTGAGGAAGTATTTTTTCACAAGACTGCCAAGATACTTTGGTACAGAATGAAAAAAATCACAGTCTTACCAAGAAGACACTAGGATAAAGTGGAGAATTAAAAGGACTTTTCCTCCACAGAGTTTACATTTACTTCGAGAAAACATACGCTTAGCAAATATTAACACAATTAATTATCATTGTGATTAAGTAGTATACAGGAAGAGTACTAGATGCTGTAAGACAAGGGACCTTGAGCTAGATTTGGGGGCAGGGGGTGAGTCAGGGATAGCTGACTCATTATCCTAAAGTCCTGCTGTGTATATTGACATCTAAAGGGTAAGTAGGAGTTGGAAAGCTAGGCAGAGAAGAAAGGAAGAGGCTCCTGGTCTATAGGAACAGTGTGTACAAAGGCCCTGAGATAGAAAGGGACATGGTGTATTCAAAGAACTGAAAGGCCAGTGCTGCATGAACACAGAGAACAAGAGGGAGAGTGACCTAAGATAGGGCTGGAGGTAAAGATGAGACAGATCATGCACAACCATGTTGTAGATCTTGGACTTTAGCCTGAGAGCCATGGGAAGCCACTAAAAAGTTTATACAAGGGAATGATGTGATCAGGTTAGCATTTTGAAAAGATTATCTGGCTGCTGTGTGGAAAATGGGTTGGGAGGGGGACTAATGGAAGTGATTAATTGCACATGGGGATGAGAAAGATCAAGGAATTAAGAGTGAGTCTCCAGCTTGTACAGTGTGTGGTGGGGGTGGGGTGGGGGTGAGGGGTGTTGCCATTCCCTGTGATAGAAAACAGTGGGAGAGGACAGCCTTTTGGGGAGAAATCTGGAGTTTCATTTTAGACGTGCATGTTGAATTTGAAGTGTCTATGAAAGATCAAAACGGAACCATCAAGGAGGCAGTTTATATAAGGATTTGGATCTCTGAAGGAAAACTGGACTAGAGAGGCATATATTTGTGAATCATCAGCTTAGAGATGATAGCCAAAGCTAGGAGACTGAATGGGGAGTGCACAGAGAGGCTGCAGAGTTCCCTGTCAAACTCCTGTAAGTCTTAGTCATCACCTCTGCAGAGCCTTCCCCGCTACCCCCATCCTCATCCTCAGCAAGGTAATTACTACTTCTATGTTAATCTTCCTTACATTTACGATCTCATATGTTATTTACTCATTTCTATGTCTCACCTGAATTAGATGTGAGCACTTATACAAGTAAGATGTATTTCGTATGCCTAGTTCTTGGCTTAGTTCCTGGCCATTATTAGGTGACCAATAAATGTCACTGAAATGAAGTGATGTGGCCTTTGAACTTCAGGGGAACATCCCACACAGTTAGCACAAGTAGTAAATGCTGTGGTGAGGTATAACACATCAGAAATACCTTCAATTGGAGGGATTTCCCCCTTGGAAATTCATCCCAGCCAATGAGAAAATGGGACTCATTTGCTACAAATATGCTGTCTAGTAATGTACACATTCTGTAGAAAAGAATACTTGGTTTAACTGTTTTTTGATCCTGGCAAGAGGCTGATTCTTCTGCCAACCGTGCTACAAAAGGAGAGCTACAATGTCTGCATTCCATGCTGTGGGCAAATGTGTGTGGTCTATGAAAAATGTATTCTCAAGAGCTGATCAACATTGTTTTGGCAGAATCCCACACAAGAGAGATCCAGGAATGATTAAATGAAAAAACAGCATATGTGACATGATCTACATAGTTGAATCACATACCACATCTCCCAGGGCTCCAGGAAAATCAGACAGCAATTCTCAAATTAGCCATCTGCCTCTCTGCTTTCTGTGACTTCTTCCAGGAAAAAGTAGGAGAGGGAGGGAAGGAGTGTAATGTTTTGTGAATGTTTGCTTGGAAGCCTGAGTATGTGTTCTCATTGTGTAATTCTTCAAAGAGCATGAACAGAGGCCAGAGATGACCTGGTGGTGAAGTGTTCAGTCCTTAACCACACTTGGGTCTGATTCCGACTTCTCAGTTAGTAGCCTGATGTCTAAAGCAAATATCTAACATTGCAAATCCTCATCTGCAAATGGTGATGGTGAGTGGTAAGATGCCATATATATTCCATAGGGAAGCTCTGAGGATGAGATGAGATGACATTTGCAAAGCATTAGCACAGTTGCTAACATGTAGTAACTATTAAATGGTTGCTAGTTGTGGCAATCCACTACCTGTCTTCAGTATGCTCTACTGTTGTGGCTTGTGTGTTGCTGTGATACTGGGAACTGTGCCACCAGGATTTCAAATACCAGCAGGGTCATCCATGGTGGATGGGTTTCAATGGTGCTTCCAGACTAAGAAAGACTAAGAAGAAAGGCCTGGTAATCTATTTCTGAAAATTAGCCAATAAAAACTATACATCATCACAGAATACTGTTCAATATAGTACTGGAAGATAAGTTTCTAGGTTCTAAGTCACTAGACAATAGCCACAGTAATGGACTCACACATACCAATGATCATGAAGAAGGCGCAGGACTGGGCAATGTTTAGTTCTGTTATACATGAGTCTCCGTGAGTCGGAGCCAACTCGGGCAACTAACAACTACAAAATTGTGGCAGTAATGTTAGAGTAGTAGAGGTGATTAAGGAAGGTTTTGTTTGGCTTAGAGAGGGATTGTTTCTGATTTATTTTGACCTTCACATATAATGAAAATTTGAGAAATATACTAGTTTTTAAATTTTATATGTAAACTGGATATCTATCTCTTTATATCCATATGAGTGCATACTCTAAATGGCACTTAAGCCATTTTATAGGTAGGTATATTTCTAAGAATGATGACTGTGGCGAAGGTGAGTGGTTTTTTCAGTATCTCCTTGACCTGCTCCAGGTTCTTCAAAATACAGCAAAATATGCCTATACTTACTGTTACTTACGATACATTTAAAAATATTTTTCATATGTAAAAATTAAGATTATATATTTAATAATAAAAGTACTATTAAAAAGTTCAAATATAATTAAAATTAGAGTGAATAATACAATGAAACTGCATATTCAGTCACCCACACTAAAAAATTATCAAGACTTTCCACAGATTTTCCTGATCTATCTTCTAAAGTATTTTAAAACAAATTGCTGCTATCAAATCATTTCACTCCTACATACTTCAGTACATCTCTCTAAAAAAATAGACATTTTCTTACACAATCACTATTCCATTATTATGATGAATTTCATTATGCTAGAGTTTTAAATTCATTATTAAATTCGCTCTCCATTCATCATTCATTCATTTATAATACCTAAAATGTGCCTCTCAGTTTTGAGTATGCAAAACAAAAATTAAATAATGGTTTCATGAATGTGCTGACACCAGTGATGATTCAAGAGTTACTAGAGTTTTTTAGGGGGAGGTGTGGTTGTAGAAAAAAGCAGAACAAAAATGCCCTGTTCTAAATAGGCATTCCCTCTATTTGGTCCCTTCTTATCTAGATTTGAATCAAAGATGAGATGTACTGGGGGTAAGGACAGAAAGCTTGGTGGGCTGAATAGGTCGAAGAATCCTAACAACTGAAGGCTACTTCCCTAATTAACCACTCCTTCGACATCAGTTTTATGATAGCAAAAATACGTTCCCTTTACTCGCTGTCCTTTCTAGAAATTCTTAGTAATCTTTAGTAATCTAAAAATATTTAGTATTCCATACTGTAAATTGGGAATACGAAACTTGACTCCTTGGAATATTTTTGAATTCTAGGATGATGTTTTAGGAAATGGTTTTATAATAATCATAGTTATTAATTGTATGAATATCCCTTAAACTAAACTATAAAATACTTCAAAATTTAGGAGCAACTTCAAAAGCCATTTAATAGAAAACAATACTTTTGGAAGGAAAAATAAAGCATTGTATTTGCTAAAATGCCAAGGGTTCTAATGCCATGGGATTATTTGTGCACATAACCATCAGAGTTGCTGCCTGTGACAGTTTCCTTGTAGGGTGGTGGAATCTGTTGCCATGGGAGAAAGAAAAGAAGTAAGAAAAGGCAAAGAATAAAAGCTGACATCTGGTTAATGGAAACTTCTTTTGCTCCTAACAGTTCTGCCACAGAAAGGGATGAATGGCTAGAAGCGATTTCCAAGTCAATAGAAGAGTATGCCAAGAAAAGAATCACGTTCTGTCCTAGTAGGAGTCTTGATGAGGTATTGTCTTTGCTGCCTTTTTTTTTCTTTCAGTGCATTTCGAACAGTTTTTACCTTAAAAAAAAAATTTTTTTTCCACTGGGGTGTTAAAAAGCAACATATGTTCACAGAAGGATCAGAGGTGTGTGTGTAATTTTCAGAGTTAAATATTTATCCTGCTATTAATTTCTAACTGCAGTCCTCTGATAGCATACAGCATATTGATGTTTTCTTTAAGTCATGAAACCTCATTGTAGAAAATTTAGAAAATACAAAATAAGGAAGACAGTAATCGGCTGTCACTCCATGACCACGGGCATCTTCTTAAACTAATTTTATGTTAGAGGATTTTGGGAATGTAGTTAGTTTTAATTTCCTGAGAACATGAAAAAAATATTTCATCCCACATCTTTAATGATACCATCAGGACTGTGAGGCACCACTGCCAAATAAAAAGGTTTGATTCTGTAGCAGGCAATGTGCATAGAGATCTTCTTCTGCAGGCCGACTTGGAAAATAAAGAGGAAGTTAGTCCCCTTGGATCAAAGGCTCCCATCTGGATTCCTGATACCAGAGTCACAATGTGTATGATCTGCACAAGCGAATTCACTCTGACCTGGAGACGACACCATTGCCGTGCCTGCGGAAAGGTTGGAGAGGATAACACCCTTCTCCACTGTGATTTTTAATATTTCCAGGCTGTACATAGTGAGCTAGCATATTCCCCCTCATAAACTATTGCCAAAAAGAAAGAAAGAAAGATGGGGGAGGGGGAAGGGAGAGGAAGGAAGGAAAGAAGGATACTAATCTGAATCATGGATAGTGTTTTCTCTAAATATTTAGGGGGAAATCTTTCTGGGGAACTCACCCCCTTCCACCCAGAAGTTACTTTAGAATGTTGGTAATAGACAACTTTCATTAAAAAATACTAACAAATCTACGGTTAAATAGACCCTCACATTTCTACACAGCTAATTAACGGTGAAACCTGTGAAAGCCGGAACCTGTGTAAGGCAGAAACCTGTCAGAGAAAGAAAACTCAAATATTTCCCACTAAAAATGAGCGATAGAAAAGTGGTAAGACTACACCCTGTCAAAGGTGGAAAACTTGCAAAACCTGGGAAAACAAGGCAGTCCCATTGAGTTCCAGCTCTCACATGTTGCACTGTATTAAAACTGCGTTTCTCTAGATGACCAAGTATTTAGTGGGGGGAACTTTCAGTGTGGAAGTTATCACTTACGTTACTAAGCTTTATGACTACGTTAGTAAAATGAGCATAGTAACAACTACATCAGAGAGTCCTGTAAAGAGGAAACGAGGTCCTATAATAGAGAGCATCTAATACAGAGCAGGACATTTGGTAAAGCAGCAGAAGAGGTGGTGGTTGCAGCGGCAGGGATAATGATGATAACAGTGCTGCTGCTGCTGAGTACAGCTAACACAGGACTTACTGCAGTCTGACACTGTAAACAGTTTACATATAGTAACTCATGTAGTATTCAATTTCCTTTAGTAAGTACTCTGTGGTCTCCTCATCTTTCAAATGCACTACTGTGTGATTAGATCACCACATGCCTGAACTCCATAGAGTTGTTAGGGAGATTGAGATCCAATGACTGTGAGAACATTTTGAAAAGTAGACAGCATGATAAATTGTATCATTTCTTATGGTTTGAACACAAAGGATATTCTAATTGAAATAACTCCAATGTGTGTTTCAGATTGTATGTCAAGCTTGTTCATCAAATAAGTATGGTTTAGATTACCTGAAAAATCAACCAGCAAGAGTATGCGAACATTGTTTCCAAGAACTGCAGAAATTAGGTAATAAATAAGCAAAAGATTTAACCAAAAATTCCTTTATTCCCCAGATGCTTTCAAACAACCTTTTAAAAGTATCATTGTAGGCACATTGGCAATATGATTAGTAATACTGGCCTCAAAATTAGTACTAAGCTTTCTTAACTCATATTTTGTTTTAATTCCAAGAGAAATTGGACTGAAGTTTATTTTTACTCTGTGAAATAAGGTTTTGTTAAGAAAATTAATTGTAGAAATGTGATTACAGGATGAAATGCTTAAGACATTTGAAAGGGAATGGTCTGTAGAGCAATTCTCTATGGAAATATAGTAGGTGGCAGTTCGTTAGCCTAATTCTAGTGCACCTCTTTGACCAAATACAAAATGACACATCATACCCTTCTACTCATTACTTGTAGGCCCCCAGTCTATCTCTAAAGTGGATGCAGCTAGCAGGCCCACACAGGTCTATATTTTGGGAAAGGATCTATAGTTAAATTCCTGAAAGCTATAGGACCTAGATTTTAAAATGATTATCCTCCATTTCTGTGAAGAGTAGTTTTTCAACAGCAAGTGGCAGTATCTGAGTGAATAAAACTAGACAACATGCTCTTTCAGAACTATACATTTATAGATTTATAGATTGCTATTGTCTGTATATATTTTCCTAGAAGACATACCCGTCTATTCCTTAGCTAGCTTTATGTTCCTCCCTTTGCTCTCTGGTATACAGTATAAGCTGCAAACATACAGAATTCATCTTTGAGTCTCCCTCCCTCATCACCCACACCCATTTGATCAGTAAATCTTGACAAATTTATCTTTGAACATCTGTCTTTGTCCTGATTGCCCCATCTCAGCCCTAATGAAGACCTTCATTATCTCTGGCCTGGACTGTTATAGCTTCCTAAGTGGTTTTCTGCTGTAAATCCCTCTTCCTGGGTGCGGCCAGATTTATTTTCCAACTGCCTAAAAAACAGTCAGGGTTTCTTAGATCCAGCCTTTTTTTCCAGCCTTATTATTCTTCAAATGTTGTTGTTGTTGTTAGGTGCTGTTGAGTCGGTTCCGACTCATAGTGACCCTATGTGCAACAGAACACTGCCTGGTCCTGCGCCATCCTCACAATTGTTGTTATGTTTGAGCCCATTGTTACAGCCACTGTGTCAGTCCATCTCATTGAGGGCCTTTCTCTTTTTTGCTGGCCCTCTACTTTACCAAGCATGATGTCCTTCTCCAGGGACTGGTCCCTCCTAATAACGTGTCCAAAGTATGTGAGATGAAGTTTCACATCCTTGCTTCTAAGGAGCATTCTGGTTGTACTTCTTCCAAGACAGATTTGTTCGTTCTTCTGGCTGTCCATGGTATATTCACTATTTTTTGCCAACACCCTAATTCAAAGTCACCAATTCTTCGGTCTTCCTTATTCATTGTCCAGCTTTTGCATGCATATGAGGTGACTGAAAATACCATGGCTTGGGTTGGGCCCCCTTAGTTCTCAAAGTGACATCTTTGCTTTTTAACACTTCAGCAGTGAGGTCTTTTGTAGCACATTTGGCCATTCTCCAGATAAATAATTTCACACCTGCCTTTGTTCATACTGAGCTCTCTGCCTGGAGTGTTCATCCTCCTTTTTGCCTGGCAAACTCCTACTTACGCCCTAATGGCCAACTAAAACATCACATTATCTTCCCAATTTTCCCTGAACCTCTACAGTCAGAATTAATTGCTTCCTCATCTGAGTCCCCGTTTCCTTTTCTAGCACGTTTTTCATTGTAACATTATTATTTGTTCTATTATCTAGATACTAAGCAATGTTGTTAGGTTTTTAAAACCAAATCAATAGGAGAGATTTCTTTTTAACATTTTTTTTGAGTTGGTAGTACGTTCACGTTTCAGAATTCTAAAGACACAAAATCTTTTCACATGGTTTAAAGTTCAAAAAGCACAAAACCACTCACCTCCAAGCCATCCATTTTCCTTGACTGGAGGCCATTAGAGTTTTCAGTTTCTTGAGTATCCTTCCATGTATATATTATGCAACAATGTTGATTGATTTACATTAAATTGAATTGCAGAATGCTTACCATTGGCTACATAACTGTACCTGATTTGTTTTAGATCACCAGCACTCCCCTAAAATTGGATCTCCGGCAAATCACAAATCTCCTTCAAGTGCCTTATCATCAGTCTTACATAGTATTCCATCAGGGAGGAAACAGAAAAAAATCCCAGCTGCTCTCAAAGAAGTAAGTGTTTCTATTAAGCTTGCAAGCTTATAGAGGCTGAATTATTTATACTCATAATATACACTGTTTTTCATCTATAAAGGAAGCTGTTATTTCCCACCACTATTAAGCATGCATTTTAATACTGGTGATGAATTTGGCTGATGCCTCACAATCTTGCCTGGTCTCCCTTGTTACCGGAGTCATTTAGAAAATGGTGGTCCAAAGGTTTGGAGAACATTTTATGGCAATAATAGAGAGTAAAGCTAACTTGTACAGATGTAAATTTTTAAAAATGACTTTGAGGAGGCCCCTTCTTAGAGGGCAGAAGTCTGTAGAATATTTTGGACATTTTGGTAGCATTTACTGATCTGCACGGTTTATTGGGCATTGGTCGGTTATGTAGGGGTGAAATCACTGATAGTAGGCTGTCTTCCATTAAAATTGAAGGAAAAATTTAAAAAGTTATAATAGCCTACACAGTTACACCTGTCAATGGCATAATCCACAGGCAGCACTGACATCATATCCTAATTCCTCACATTTAAGTGTCTGGTCAGCAATTGTCAGAGAACTGATGGCAGTGCATTTCTGGCCACTCCCTTTTTTTTTTTTTTTTTTGGTTAAGTTTTTTTATTGTACTTTAGGTGAAGATTTACAGAACAAATAGTTTCTTATTAAATAGTGAGTACACATATTGTTTTATGACGTTGGTTAACAACCCCACGACATGTCAACACTCTCCCTTCTTGACCTTGGAGGCCCTTTTTTTTTTTTTGGTGAAAATATACATAGCCAAAG